TGAGAATAATCAACGAAATTGCCGTGTGATCACTTATCACTATACCATCATACCAGCAACTCTTAACCCTTGATAGGAGTTCCATTGAGATAAGAAAATAGTCAATACGAGAACGAGATTTGCTGACACCAGAATGACAAGAATATTCTATTTTGTCAGGATTATGTTCCCTCCACACTATCAAATTTATATATGCAATGTGTCGTTTCAGCACTTTTATATTTTGCGCTTTTGAAGTGTCACAGCCAGTTTGTGGGATTTAAAGTGCAGTTAAAGTCCCCTCCAATTATATAAAATCCTCTTAGGGTGGACAGAGTGAGAAAAACATCTTCAAAAAATTTAGGCTTATCCTCATTTGGACCATATATGCTAACCAAATTTAATGTGTAAGAAAGGAGATTACCTTGAGCGATAACATATCTTCCGGCTGGATCCGGAATCGTTTTGATAACTTGAAACGGTATTGTTCTATGTATAAGAATAAGTACACCCCTAGCGTAGTTATTGTATGTTGCGTGTATGATTTGACCAGGTCATCAAATCCGAACCAGGTGAATACCCGAACTTGTCAAATGAGTTTCTTGAATGAAGACTATTTTGGATTTAAGATGTTTAATTCTTGTCATAATCTGTTTTAATTTTTTTAATCGTTGCAGTCCCCTGACATTCCAGCTGGTGAGTTTTATATTAAAAGCATTATGCGAGTCTGCTTGCTCCATTTACAATTTGTTACATGTATACAAGGGCAAGGTGGTATAAGAGATAGTGCTGTGCTGAGTAGAATTTGGTAGAAAGAAAAAAAAAAAAAAAAAAAACATTTAAACACTTTAAACATTTAAACACTTGCATCTCCACTCCCTTACTCAGGAAAGAACTGGTGGGGCTTGTGCTAATCCTCATTCTAAAGGATCAGTCTGATTATGTATTGTGCAAACCAAGCTCCTAAAGCAACCAATAATGTTTTTTAGTCACACAACTTATAAATTGAGGTCATGTGAACGAAACCCATTCAAGATAAATATAGAGCCAGACTAACGACTCAATTATCCCCTTTCCGTATAAACTAATGTCAACACAATAACACAAATCAAAATAGTGAAATATCTGAACAATATAAGTATGCATAGGAAAACCATATTAACCAATATATTAGAATCATGCATATGTCCCATTAGATGCAATTTCTCTTACAAAGGCAACGTAAGAGTTGTTCAAAACAGTAAAGCCGTTTAGGCAACAAAAGCACTGTAAACTATACCACATTATCAAAACCAAATTCTGTAGTTGGTCACTTAAGAGTCCATTAAGAATTCAAAGGTAACAACTTAAGGACCCAGCGCAATGTCATTTATTGGGTCATCAGTGTATACTTCTCACCCAAGTCCATGACAGAAGTCCTCCGCTTCTTTCGGTGACAAGAACAACTGAATCTTTCCATTGTGGAGAACCCGCATCCTACACAGATTATGTTGAAATCCGCGGAAGAGTCCTTTCTCCACGAATACTCTCCTGATCGCGTCAAACTTGTATCTCTGTCGTATAGTCTCAGCCAAAAAGTCCTGATTAAAGAAAATCTTGTCTCCCTTATGGGTGACGTTTTGCTGTTTAGTCTAGCGGAAAACAAATTCCCGATCTTGGTACTTTAGAAACCGAATAAGGACCGCTCGATTCTGGTTTGGCCTTGGCGGCGCTAAAGTACAGTGGACCCTTTCAAGAATAAAGGACTTGCCAGTTTCTAACTTTGGCCAGCGCGGTAACATGTCCTGTATAAACTCCAGAAGTGGCCGGTCTCCCTCAGCGCCCTCCCGGAGGCCGACCAGTCGCAGGTTTTTTCTCCGGCTCCGTTTCTCTATGTCTTCAACTTTTAATTCCAAGTAGGTGACACGTTTCACTGCGCTAATTAACTCCATATCGTTTTTCTCCAGCAGCCTCTCCGCTGCCATTATCCGATTTTCAGTTTCTTCCATTCGGGTTGTGTTAGAAGTAACATTGTTTCAGCTCTGGCATCCTGTTTTCCAAAGCCGCAACTGAGCTTGCCATCTTATCTAGACGGTCATTTATACTGTCCAGTTTGGAACAAAATCCTCCAAACTCGGAGTGGAGTGATTTCAATTCAGACAGCACGGCTGTTAGGCCCGTCATGTCGACAGCAGCAGCTTCGTCGTCTTGCTCCGATTTCGATTTTTGGGGACGTTTCCTGGTGAAAATCTCACATTCTTTTACACTTGTCATCTTTGACATTGTTTTTTAATTGGTTGTCATTGATAACTTGGGTTTGAGTGTATATAAATGCTTGGTTTTGCAGAGATTATCCACTAAGCCGCCATGTTGGTCCGTGGCTTCATAGCGCCCCCCGACAAAGTTATTTTATTTTCTGTGATCGCTAGATTCTGATTTGAAATTTGGCCTGTAAGCTATGTGTCTACTAACAACATAAACAACATGTTAGTGAAAGGTTTTGGGCCTTGTACACTACTCATCATACCATGATGCACTTAGTTAATAGTGTTTTTTTTCTTTCAAAATGTATGATGTTTTAATGTTCATGGAATATTGGAATTGTAGAATGAATTGAAGATGAAGGTACTATAATAAAAATTCTAACCTTGCATTTATTCTTCTGTTTTAGTAATTGCTAAAAATTGCAATTTAGTAATTGCAAAAATCTAATCCTGTATGGCAGCATTTCACCAAGCCAACACCAGGAAAAGCCAGGTGCAATATCTGCAGCAGGCTGGTGAGCTTGGGAGCTGAAGGAGTTTGCTGCTATATCCTCCTGAGACCCGACCTATTCATTTATGTCCATTGTAGTGGACATTGTATTTTTGCCACTGATGTTGGGAAACGTATTTATTCTTGTTGTGCACTAAAGAGGACATGCTGTGAAATTAAAATAAGAACAATTTAGATTTTTTCAAATTTATAAGATGTCATTTCCTCCAAAGACAAATAACCTACAATTGAAGGACACTTTTTTCCTTGGGTCTCAGGAGGATATTGTGCAGTAAAAGAGATTCTGATGCTGGTATTTTTATTGTTTATAAGTTTAAGTTGTTTATAAGTTGAAAAATTTTGGTTATCATTTGTTATTATTAGTGTTATATTTTATCATGCAAATAAAGGGGAAAACGTCCAATTATCGGCCAAAAAAAATCGGCAGCATATATCGGCCATCGGCTGACCCTGACTCCTAAATATCGTCATCGGCTATTGAAAAACCCATATCGGTCGACCTCTAACCCCTGCCCAGCTAACTGATGTATTTAATTAGCAAGACTAATGGCATTTCAGAAGCAGTTCTCTCACCTTCTGACTAAAATCCTTTGGGGGGCGGGATGCTGTAAGTTCATTTGTGCTATGAAGATTAAGTCCAAAGACAGACTCCTCCATTGGACCTCTCAAGAGGTTAAATCAGATTTTTAAGGGAAAATAAGCAAAATGAAGAAAACTACAATAACATTTATAACAATAATAATGGAAGCAATAGAAAATAAATATAGTCACAGGCTATGGCCTGAATAAATGCTTTGGCCACATTTAACATCAAATGTTCCATTAAAATGTTTGTAAATGAATGTGCATTAAGTATGGAAGTACACTGTGTACATGTAGATATAATACAGCTATGTTACTGTATAAGGGCCTACGCACTATAGCACCACCATTAGCCTAACCTGTGTTTTTTCTGCCCTAATTACTGGAAGGAGTATTGTATGATTTTACCAATTTTCATAATTCTCAATCATATGCAAAGGTAATTGTAGCCTGTTCAAAGTTGATTGGCCATCATAAGCCATGTTTAATGAGTAGATGTACTTCCATTATGTGTTTTCTTGGGACATCTGGTGAAACACACACAAAATGTGATCATTTTAAGTCCAATGGTTTCCAAGTTATTAGCTATCCTTTGAGTTATACCACCCCCATTGGGTGATTTTTATGAAATTTGGAGAGTCACCCCGGAATGTGATACCCACCATACATAGTAAGTTTGGTGAAAATTTTATGTTTTGTTGATGAGAAATAGCTCAATAAATGCAAAAAGGCTAAGCATCCCAGGAGGCCACCTCATGAAACTGGTGTAGAGGAGAAAGTAGGGTCAGCCAGGCCCTGGAGCAATTGGGGCTGCTGCCCCCCCCCCACCAATTTTGTTTTTTGTTTAATAATTTTTTTTTGTTCAGTGCATAATTCCGTGTGTGTTATTTTAGTTTTGATAACTTTAGTACAAATAAACCTTTCTATGGGAAGGTGTTTCCAAACTTTTCACTGGTACTGTACATTCTGTCCTTAGGCTGGCAAACCCGGCCTCTCAGAATTATAGGTCTTTCTTAGTCCCTCCAAGTTCCACACAGGCACATATGCAGTGGTGACTGCAAATCAAAAACACAACTCATTCCATTGAAATATATTTACCATTCATCTAATATTAAAGACATTTTAATCAGTGTTCACCTACATAACTATAAAAGTTACTCTTATATGCAAAATTATTTCAACACAGTAAAATATACAGAGCTGAAAAAACAGCACGGCACCCAGCAAACCGAACACGCATGGTACATAATGCAATGAGATGAGGGCTCGATAACTTAACATATCATACTCATATGATACACAAGTCATTGCAGCAAGCTTTCAAATAGAAGTGCAACATGCCAGACCTGCAAAAAGCCAGTTATTAAAGCAGACTGTCTCCTGGAAGTCTCCAGGGACACTGTCAGTGAAAAGGAAGCATTCACAATGTCACTTTCCACCTTCAGAGCATACGAGCCCTAAGCAGTGTGTCAGATCCGCACTGGTGCTCTTCAGAGTGTGTTTACCACACTCATTGACACACTAATTACACTTCAGAAATGGCTCTCACCACTGGGCCAAACATGCTGGTTTAAAGTCCATCATGCTCCAGGTACCTGCTTCCCCCCAGCACAGGTGCAAACCTCCCAAGCAAGACTGCAGGGGCAGGGCCAAAGGTTCAACTCAGGGTAAGATGGTCACTGTACCTTCCTCTGGACGAAATCCATGATGTTCTTGAAATCCAGATCGTCGTAGTAATTCACCATGCCCTTCCGGATATTTTTGTTCAGAATGTCCACAGTCTGCAGGCAGAGCAGAAAATGTTATACAGAATTCAACCATTTGAAGGAGGAACATTTGTATTTTGTACAAGAGGGCTGTCACAGAAAAATCTTACACATGGACAGTGACCAAGTTAGTCTGTCCTCCTGTAAGCAACTACTCAATAGAGACTGCAGACATCGTGCCCCAAATGCAGAGCACACATCACTTAGACTCCCAGGGAACGTGTCTGCTCCTTTCCTCTTTGGGATGGGCTTCCCTCTGAGTGCTTGTGTGCTCTTAGAAAGCAAACAGGGAGTTGCGAGCTTCTGATGAGGCCCCCTGGAGGCCACATAGTGAAACATGGTGCTGTGTCAGCATAACCAGACCCAAAAACAATCAGGCTGTCAACTTGCGGTCAACACAAGCAGCCGACTTCAGATGGAGGTTTTTATTCCATCCAAGACTTGGCACCTCAACAAAAATTTCTCATCACCCCTCAGTCATCTGAAAATGTAATGAAGGAGTGTGTGACATAGCTGCTGCTGCCTTATTATCCAGAGCTACATAATCCTGCTTTAAGCAAGCAAGCATCATAATCAAAGACTTCATTGAGATCCACAGGAAGTGATCTTTGTAAAGGGACTGCTGGAGCTAATTAATGCCATTAAGAGACCAGATCCTGAGTCCCACACTTTTAGAACACAGCTGTTATATCTATATTACACATTCATTTTGTATTTCACACCACCTGTAGCACAAGAGCTAATAATTCCTCATTAAGTCTTAACTGAAATGAAACAGAAGGCTAGTCTATACATAGCAACACAAAGAAATAGGGTGCTGTGTTTATCTGAATGTCTGCAGTTAAGTCTCCCCTAAGCTGCAATTCAGCTCAAATACTGTACATCAGTAAGGGCCAGAAGCAGCCATCAATCCATCCATCTTCAGTAACCGCTTGTCCTGTTCAAGGTCAAGGGATCTGGAATCTATCCCTGAAGCTACGCAAGGCAGGGAACAACCCAGGATTGGGTACCAACCCACTGCAGGGCACACTCACACACTATTCACTCACACGTACACACCTAAGGGTAATTTGGTAACTCCAATTAACCTCAGCATGTTTTTGGATGCCTGCTATGTTGCTGGATCTGATCAGTACATGAAGTACTGCCTCTATATCATATAGGGCTGCAAGATCCTTTGAAGCAGCCAACATTAAAAGACATGCAGAGGCTTCCGTCATCAGTCATGGTGCCGTTTATCCATTAATACTGGAGAGCCCACCCCCTCCCCCTTAAACATGATGATGGGCAGTTGGTCACCATGCCAAAATCTTAGAATCCTGTCAGTTGAATGATCCTGTCAGTTGGCAAAAATATAAACATTTCTCTTGGGAGACAAGAGGAAGTGAGACTGTGGCATTGGACCTGGGGGCCATTACCACTCACTGGGTGTTAACCCAGAAGGAACAGGAAGTGCATTAAATAATTGACCAGCACTATCGGTCAAAGTCCATGAGGCGCCCTAGGTGAGCATCACCATCATCCGTGCCTAAGCACCCCAAGGGATCACCTATGGGCCAACCAAGGATTCCCACCCCCCGCATGGGCTGAACAGAGCAGTGCAGACTCTGAGGAGTACCTGGTGGTGGAAAGCGATGGCCAGAATGCCACCGAGGAGCTCCAGGATCAGGCAGATCGTCAGCGTGTAGAGGAACTGCGTAGAGGCGGGAGTACAGAGTGGTTAGGAAATGGCTGACTTGGTGGGGAGCAGACGAGGGCTGATTATTAAAGCACCTCTCAAAGAAAACCGTTTGCTTTGGCTGTCACTCGAAAAGGCAGCAAACACGAAGGAGATATTTGTCTCCAATTCAAAAGAACTCTTCAGAATTCGCTCACAATTTTTTTTACTCTGAATAAAAAGCTGCACTGGAAAAATTTTAATTGACACTCAAATTTAATTTAATATTCATACTTCATTCAATTAATAGCAACTACTTTTCCATTTATTGTGTTACAGGTAAAACCCTGATATGAGATTAACAAAACAGCTGCTAAATTAGTTTTACAGATTTTTTTTTAACTTTTTAATCATTGGCCTTTAGTTACATGGTTGCAGGGGTTAAATACAGAACAGAACATACCATAAGACCTGAAAGGATGGACATTCCGTGAAGAGTCAGAAATATTGTCCGTTTCCTGAAATGAACTGTGCAGATTGGAAATCCCTTGAAAGGGTATCTACTTCACACACAAAGTGCACCGTGAAACAAAACTGTAAAATGAAGCTTTTCCTGTATGTTAATTTTGATATTCAGTTATTTTAATTCAGTGTCAATGCCAGGCTCACTGACTACTACAGGTATGAGAATCAATACCTCCAGGGCACTACATGCAAACCTGACCGGTTTCTTTACACAGAGCCAAGGCACAGGGTGTCACAAGGCCCCATAGCACCACCTGCTAGTGGAAGACTAATCCTGCGTTCGATTATCTCTCTCAGAGTTGGAAGTCGGATAAAAACGTCATGGAAAAACGTCACTTCCTGTCGGAAACACACACTTTCCGGGGTTGATGTAGGACAGAATTTTGTTGTCCGAGATTCTCCTGTGACATCATTTCAACATGGTGGTTTACACAGTCAACAGTAATTGTATAAATATTCATACAAGTGTTTATTTTGTTAAATGTATTAATAATTATAAATGTAAATTGCACATGGTCGATTTAGAGAATACCATATCATGACCGTAAACAGTATTCTAGCATGCAATATCAGATTTTTACCAGACTTGTTAGTGTCTTTTGTTTGTTTGTAGTTTGTCTGCATCACAAAAAAAGAATATCACTATGGATCTGTTAAAATATTATAAAGCTTTTAATGTGGTTTGTCTAGTTTGTGTTTCTTGTTTGTTGTCTCTCGGAAAAAGGAATCTCACTCCACATCTGCTAAAATATAAAAAGTGACACAACAGTGTGTTCATGGAGGCAGCCATGTTTGTTCCGAGACGTGCAGCTCGAATGGGAGATTGGTCGGACGCGACGTCACACACCTCGGAATTTACGACTTCAGAGAGTTAATTCATACAAGGTAACTCTCCTACCTACCAGATGGAGGTGCTACTTTCAACAGATGAGTAGATAGCACGTGCTTATGGAAATCAATCTGTTCTGATTGTTCATTTTGAATAATAAGGAGCCTTGTCTTGAAGTTCATAAATGAAAAATGAAAATCTTGCCACCATGGTTGAACCATATGCTCACCTTTACCCCCACTGAAAATGCATCGTTGGTTTGAGTGGTTGCCGAGTGCCGTTTATAAAACTTCACTTCAGCCCCATAAGATCTCCCCGGTGTCTTTTTGCCCTGGGCCACCACGGGCTTTCCACTGAGTTGTGAGCCACAGTCAGAGTCCAACGTTATGGTGAGCAGAAGGCACTCCAAAAGGAACCTTAACACAAGGCTCGGTGCTATAAAAAAAAGTCAGGCACAAGGGTCTGACCAAAAATTGTGAGTGTACAGCCTTTCCTTTCCTCTATCTGACCTACAAAACGAGTATATTTTAATTATGACATGGATTACAATACATGAAGTATATGGAGGGACACCATTTGATATGTGGTGTCGGTCCCTTTGATAGGGAGGCTCTTACCACTTTAAGTAGACAGAGGTTGTCCCTGAGAGAGGCCAGCACGCCAATGAAGGAGATGAAGAACATGACCAGCCCCAGGACGACGAGGATGATGGCAGGGGCCAGAAACACACCCTCCAAGGTCTTGTAACGCTGACGTTCCACCTCTGCATAGATCCCAATAGCCAGGATGAATCCTCCAATCAGCTGTGAACACATGAAAATGGAGACATGCACTGGCCACTCAGAAGGGGTTCTGTATATATACCTTAATTCTGAAAAATTCCTATTGAAAAGTATGTAGTTTGGTTATTATTTCCACTCATTGGTAAATATGTATGATATGCTCTTTGACTTAACTTTAACAATATCATACAATTATGGAGCTTTTGAAAAGAAAAAAAAAAAAAGTCTTTTTTACAGTGGATATTTTTAACTCAATTCAACGGAGAAACGAAAAAGGGGTGGAGAGGGGTGCGCTGATTTTATAACAAAAATGGGAGCATCATTACAGAACAAAATGCAGCACAATAATCATCTCAATTATTTTGTTTTGATAATCGCTGGAAGCCAAAAATGTAAAATTTGATTAATTGCCCAGCCCTAATACATTACAGTACATCCAGTAGATGAGTTTAGTGGTTGTCACCCAAGTATATTTCACAAGAAAAGGTAGAGATAACAAAATGGTGCCTATAAACACATAAGCGATTTGATTACTTTCCACCTTAAAGATCAAGCTGACATAAAAGCAAAACAATCCAGTAGTACTCTTTCAAATACTAAATTAAGCCAGCTTATTTCTCTCCTCAACCCTTATTGAAACACTCTGACTGTTGAAAAAATAACTGCAAAAGCAATTACACAAATAAGTCATTTTTTTAACAGCCAGATTCTGTATTTCTGCACCTTAATAGAAGCACATAAAGAGCCAGCGATCCTCCCACATAAAATGGCAGCATTTAAATTGCACCGCTGTATACTGGCTGATGATCGAGTCGACCATAAATAAATTAAAACTTCATCACATGGCTAAATGTCTCTCTCTTACACAGGTGGAGAGAAGCAGAGATTGTGAAACATTCCTCTGCTCCAGACCAGGCTAACTGTCTCGCTTAGTTTAGCGTTGTCTCAAAGAACGTCCGACGTGTGGAAACAGATTCCCAAAAGATCGTTCCCACGGACGAAATTCCGCGATCTTACTACTCATGTCATGTAATTTGTTGAATTATGTGTGTCCTCGTTTGACATATTTGACATTATCTGACTGAATTATTTTGTTAATCTGTCAGGTGTACCAAAATGACATGATTTTGTTTGACTTAGCGGGAGAGTGAATCTTGTTTAAACGTATATAAAAAAAAATGGAACCCTGTAGTCAGGGGCGGATTAAGGTGCACAGAGGCCCCTAGGCTACAGTAGTCTGTGGGCCCCCCAACCCCACCCCCCTCTGCGCCAATGGGGGCCCCCTTGCAGGCTGACACACGTGGGGCCCCTAGGCTTAAGCCATATCTAGCCTGTGCGTTAATCCGCCCCTGCCTGTAGTGCTGTGAGTAAAAGCAAGATGAGAAAGCAGAGAATAAAAACCATCTTTTCGGAAGTAATCCTCTGCGTGATACTTCCATAATACGGAGAACAGAGCTGAGATTGCTACATAATCAATATCATAAAGACTATAAAATCACGTCTTAGCATTCTAATTAATTCCAAAATAATTACAGTAAAATCCCGTTATAGTGGACTCGCTTATAACGGACGAGGTCTGCTGGTTCCGGCCGTGTGCCTTTACAAACATGCAGAAAAACCATCGGATATAGCGGACTCGCATATAACGGAATTTCGCTTATAATGGACAAACAATTTGGTCCCCAGGGCCGCTTTTAGTAGGTATATGACTAACGCTCCCGGTGAGCTGCTGAGTCATGGCACCTGCCGCCTGAGTGCAGCCGAGTGCACTGGTCAATGGGGCGCGTCATTGTTTTGCGTTTAGATAATGTTTAGTTATTCGGGGAAACACCGATATTAATGACTTAGTTCACATGTTCTTCTGCAGCCTCGTGATCTGTCCGATTTGTAGAAGTCGAAAAATTTTGTTGCGAAAAAACTGACATCAAAGTCAACATTCCATTACCCGAAGGTAAGTTACAATAGCTTTGATACCATATATATTTGTTAATATACATATTTGTCTACATCTGTGATTAATTTGAAGCATATTTTAACATCCCAACATTGTTTTTGAGCGCCCCGAAAATTTTACGTCTAAACGAAAATTTCTTAAATATGGCCGAATATCGCCACTTCAACAGCTCATCTGGTGACGATCACAGCCATCATTGAGAAGTTTTATCACAACCAAACCAAACCACAACCGTTTAATTTGGTCCGCCATAGTTTTTAGGATTTCATTTTAATACACGTCAGTGTTCTCATTAAATGATTAAGTGCTAAATTGCTAATCTGCACGATCGGTGAAGTCACACTCAAAATAATGCCTTTTATTGCACAATGATAAGCACTGAGTGAACACTTTTTTATTTGACACTATAATTGTAAAAGTCTTGACAGCGCTGCTTCTACAACAAATTTCTAGGGAAAACACACAAATGGAAAGGATAGGATTCGTATGATAAGGTTATTGTAGGGTAATTTTAGGTATTTCATTTCATCTCAGGTGATTCCCCAAGAGCAAGTGCCATCACAAGGAGCCTCTGTGAAATGATTGTGATGGACCTGCAACCTCTCTCTGTGGTTGAGGATAAGGGGTTTAGGAATTTTGCTAAGACAATGGACCCACACTACAAGATTCCTAGTAGGAAAAGTTTGATGGAAGGGAAAATACATTCACTTTTTGCAGAGTGCCACTCTAAAGTTCAGAAATATCTTGACAGTGCAGAACATGCTGTACTGACAACAGACATGTGGACATCAAGATCCACAGAGGCATATTTAACTCTCATGTCATGTAATTGATGACGACTGGCAAATGCAGGCATTCGTCCTAGAAACCTGCAGTTTTACAAATCAACACACTGCAGAAAACATTAGCTCAGAATTGATCAAGATAACAACTGAATGGGGCATCACTGACAAAGTTCAAGCCGTAATCACGGATAAAGCCTTTAATATGGTTAATGCTGTACAGAAAGCAAGCTGAGCACATTATCCATGTTTTGCTCATACTTTGAATTTGGTCATTAAAGATTCCATCAAGGCCCTCCCAGACCTGCTCAGCCTCAAGGAGAGGTGCAATGCTATTGTGAGTTTTTTTCACCACAGCACAAGAGCAACAGAGAGGCTTAAAGAAGTCCAAAAACAGCATAACTTTCCAGAGCACAAACTGATCCTAGCAGTTGAAACAAGGTGGAACTCCTTGTCTTACATGCTTGAAAGACTACTGGAGCAGAGGGAAGCTATCACCACAGCCCTCTGTCTGTTTGGGAAGAGCACACTGTGCATGACTGAGGAAGAATGGTCGCTGATCAGTCTCTCTCTTGATGCACTGAGACCATTTGAGGAGGTTACAAAATAAATCTCTTCTGAAAAACATGTTACTTTCAAAAGTGATTCCCCTGGTTTCCCTACTTCTCAGGTCAACTGCATCTTATTCATGTGAAGGTAGCAAGCTTGCAGCTGAGCTGGCTGCACAGTGCCAACATCGTTTCAGAAACATTGAAACNAAGATCTTATCCCAACATTACCCCTGTAGGTATGTGACTAACGCTCCCGGTGAGCTGCTGAGTCATGGCACCTGCCGCCCGAGCACAGCCGAGTGCACTGTTCAATGGGGCGCGTCATTGTTTTGCGTTTAGATAATGTTATTCGGGGAAACACCGATATTAATGACGTAGTTCACATGTTCTTCTGCAGCATCGTGATCGAATTTTTTCTGTCCGATTTGTAGAAGTCGAAAAATTTTGTTGCGAAAAAACTGTCATAAAAGTCAACATTCCATTACCCGAAGGTAAGTTACAATAGCTTTGATACCATATATATTTGTTAATATACATATTTGTCTACATCTGTGATTAATTTGAAGCATATTTGAACATCCCAACATTGTTTTTGAGTGCCCCGAAAATTTTACTTCTAAACGAAAATTTCTTAAATATGGCCGAATATCGCCACTTCAACAGCTCATCTGGTGACGATCACAGCCATCATTGAGAAGTTTTATCACAACCAAATGCTGCCCTAAGATGTTTATTAATGATCCCTGGTGTGATTTGTGTAATAGTGTTGTTAATAAGCTGATGGCAAAAGATTTTGATGGATACTTCATGCACTAAAAACGGCTGCTATGCCAAGCCATGGGTCACATGACCAAGTTAAAGGATTGTGATTGGTTGCGGTCATTGTTTACAAACACAAATAGCCATGTGTGCTTTAGTAGTTGCAATGTTTAAACTTGCTTTTTAATGTGTATGTGATTGGATACTGGAGTGATGGAGAAACATATGAGGATGATGCTGCGCTGACTTAAAGCAACGCATTCTGATCCTGACGCAATGCATTACGGTTAGATGTTTTGCGACCTCTCACCCGGCTGCACAAACTGGAACCGCCTCCGTGACGACACACCTTTGTCCTTATTAGCTGAAGAGGTTAGTTACACGCATGACGTTTGTATCCCAAGCAGTTCCGATGCGTAATCTGCTATTTCTTCCGAATATCACGTAAAGCAGTGAGAACTGGTTTTCAGTTAATTTACCTGGTAAAATAAAGTTTAAATAAATGACATAAATGATCTAATAGTACATGTAAGTTAGTGGTTTATTTATTGTTAGTTACTGTAATGTTGCGCCGCTTTATTTGGTTAATCGTCCAGTCTTGTGAATAAGGCATTCAAGTAAGAATTACATTGTAGTATGACTCATTTCCGGGCCGTACAATTTATATTAGGTCAGCGTTCACGGTTCGACTTCTGATATTCAGATCGAGTTCTAGGTCACTGGTTTGTTCGACTTTCAAGAAATTCGAGTTCTAGTGAGTTCGAGAACTGACGTACCACTGTATAGACTCACCAATCGAATGAGCTTATTTATGTTAGGGAAAGGCAAATGGCAAATACTGTCTGCCTGTTTTTTTCCCAAAATAAATCTTGCGTTTGATGTAAACCACACATCACTGACATTCAGTTATCATTCAGCCATTCATTACTTTTGCCTAAACCATTAAAAAGGCCATGTACTTTATTCAAAATAAAAAATATTCAGTTTAACATATAAATATCATGTAAATAGCAAAAATACAGCTCTGAATGGAGAGTAAAATAAACTGATGTGACATTGGAAAGGCTTACCCTCCTTCCCCCAGTGTTTGCTTCTAAACTCTTCACTAAGAGTGACATGCACTCAAAGTTAACAGTTAGAAATGCTATTTTGTGTTAGATCAGGGGTTTTCAACCTTGGGTCTGTGCAAAAACATATCAAGGGGGAAGGAACCAGAAATATTAATCTTCTTAGCTAACGAGTTCTTAGCTACTTACTCATAATGATCACTCATTAGTGGTAGAGGGTCCCTAACTTTGGTCTGTTTTCATCTGGGCTTAAAAAAGGCTGAATTTCCCTGTGTCAGATTATTAAAAGAAGCCATCTCTGAGCGTCTCACACTTCTGCTAAAGGGTGATCACGACCTAAAGAGGGCGAAAACATCCAAGCCTTACTCCCAAGCTTCTCTGGTGAAATTTATTTATCTTGATGGTTCCCGTGAACGGACAGCTGTCTAAGTGCCATGCTGCATGGGAAATGCTGTTTTACATGCTTAGCTGTGCATGGCAGTAGGTCTTAGCGGCGATACAGCATCCTGACTATCAAAGGTCCCATATCAAAGCATGTATATTTACACCCATAAATCTATATACGAAAACGTTAGATGTATATCTTGAGTATAATATGATATTGTCCTTAATAGCTGTGCAGAACGGCAGATGTGGGAGAAATAATTCAGGAGGGGGGAAGAGCTGTTACATAGCTTGTCTTTTTGATTTTTACGTAAACCTGTCTGAATTCATTTTTCGGAGTTTGGGAGGGAGGTGTTCATCCATGCGCCCACCGCCTCCTCCTCCAGCCAACTTCTGAAGCTTTGGAGGCAGATCGGCGACCGACTTGCTGATGGGTTCCGTGCTGACCTTGGTGACCTTGGAGCCCCCCTTCTCCTCAGAGACGCCGGGCACGGAGCTAATGCGCTGCAGCTTGATGGGCAGCTCGCCCAGGCTGTAGGTCATCTCCGAGGCAGTGGAGCTCATTCTCAGCAGCTTCCGCGGCAGGCCCTCGCGGCCCGTCATCTTCTGCAGCTTGGCCGGCAGCTTGGCTGCCACCTCCGCGTCCTCCAGCTTCTCCAAGCAGTCCAGCGAGCTGTCCTTCTCGCCGCTGTTGCTCAACGAGGGCGCCATCAGTGGGGAGGAGATGAGCAGGGCCTCCTCCTGCTCCTTGGCGCTGTAGGGCGGCGTCGGCACCTCGAAGGTGCCGTGGAACTGCGAGTAGTCCACCTTGAAGAAGCCTTCCTCCAGGGATATGACCGGAAAGAAACGGTGTCCCCAAAGGACCTCGTCCTCAGTATAAGAAGTCCGTGCCTGACAAGTCATGCCTGCAGAACACAGCAAAACACAACTCTGTGGAAGCAGGAAGTTTACCTAAAAGCGTTACATAAAAAAAATGTCACATCGTAGACTTCATCTCGATGATAAATCCTCAAACTCTGCTGCTCTTTACCTTAGCAGATTCCGTCTAGCAGCTAATTCCCTAACTTTCCTTTACAATGAAAATGTAATGGTATTAATTTATTCTGTCTTTTTCTTGGGATAGTTAGAAAAAAATGTGCTCATTTTCCTTAATTGCGTTCTGACTAAAAGTGGGTGCTAAAAGCGGCCAGCCACTTAAGATGCACTCAGTCCTGCATTTTGGGTTGCAAAGTAAAAGAGAAGGACTGAGTCTGAATTTCTGAGGTCTAAATATTCCCCACTGAAGAGTTTAACTGCAGGGAGACGGCATGCTCAAGCGCGCCAGCCATGGGGAAATAAATTCCCTTTTGCATATTCCCATCATAACTCCACTGCTAAAATGCAAACCGATAACTGCTAAGTCAGCTACACTGTCCATTTACTTCATTTGCTGACATCATCAACCCGGAGTGATGTGAAAATCCAGTCCAGCTGTCTCGGTGTAATTATTTATAGAAATTCACTGAGATATGATTAGAATCTTGCATTCTCGCTCTGTACCGTCCTAAGTTATATTCTCTAATGAAGTTCTATGGGATACTTCCATTTACTCCATCATTCTAAACCGGCCTGAGCAAACTGTGCTAAACATTTCACCTTTAAATATTACCCTGTATGTGGTTAAGGAATTCATGCCTGATCCAACAGTTTAATTTATCAAGGAGAAAACTGTCAAATATGTACTGACAACTCATAATACACTACACTACTATATTGCACATGCATTCCTTTCTAGCCATTAATAAAATTTAAAAATGCTACATAACAATAATTGATACTTTATTGATCCCCATGGGGAAATTGTCTTTATGCCTCCCTCAACTTGCTCTTTGTAGAGTAAGCTGTCTGTGAAGGGCAGCCACCTGTTGGGGCACCCAGGGAGCTTGCTGAAGGACCTGCAGATGTGCTTGGGCTGGGTTTGAACTGATGACCTTGGGATTACAGACACACAGGATTAGCCCACTGAGCCACACGCTGCCCCCAAACACAAAAAATAATAGTAATAGTAATTGTTGTTTTAAGACAGCGCATTTGCAGACTCAATGCACTAAACCACAGGTAATTAAATGTGCAATAAATTCAAGAGGAGTTCTCACTGTAACGAGTATGATAAAATGCCAGTTGTTAATACCTTGTAAATCCTGGCAACAGCAGATTGTGACCATATGCTAATAACTGAAGTTGTGCCATACTGATTTTAATATATTTTTCAATTATTGAACATTTTAACATTTACAGTTTGACTTCATTAGAAACAGTTATTTCAGCAAAGGTAACTAGATCGAATGATTTTTCTCCCAGACAAAATAATTTTACTAATTGGTGCAAAAGACTTAGACTCATCACAAGTACAGCTGACTTAGCAGCTTTGAGTTCCAGTTTCAAGGAAACTACTTGCGGTGCCGTATTAGGACTTAAACCAACAATCTTCCAGTTAGGAATGCATGTCCTTAACAGAAATGGCTGTGAATATATGGATGTGCCTATTTTCTTACAAATGTATGTCACAGAGCTGGATTTGAGTCCTCTGAAGTCAGGACTCCAGTCAGAGCAGCAGGATTTCAAAGAGAATCTAGCAGATGGATGTTTAGGTCTCATTAATGAGAGAACACAGCTTTGCTGGGCCTCTTTGCCATGTGGAGTGCAATTCCAGCGGTGACAAAAAAAAAACAGCTGATGAACATATAACCTGCTGGGGTACTGTTGGGGTACTGTCAGGGGCTCTGTCAAGATACCAACAGGGTACCNTGGAGTGGATAGAGGGCTTGAGCCTTAATCAAGCAATCAGGGTTCAAATCCCACCCAAAATATAGCTCTGAAGGGAAGAAAGTAGTCTACAACTGGACATTAAGGCTTCCACCTTCTCTTCATAAATCATAGGCCTACACATTTATATAAAATAAATTGTGCTGTTTTTTTTTTTAAGTTTAATAAGTATCGTATCGATATCGGTGATACTGGCCATGTATTTACTTGGTATCGGATCGATATCAGATTTTGCAGTATCGCCCACCACTAGCTATAACGGACATGCAGTTCCGCCTACAAGGCGTGTGGCGTGCCGGTGATATCGAGCGCAGATCTGTAGTGGGGATTGTTAATACATCTGGTCAGGTAAAGTTGGATTACTACACGTACAATATAATAATCTATAGATTAAATGGTGTCCTGTAGTTGAGTTCTGAGCATACAGCAACTCTGGATATAACGGACTGTTTTGCCAGGTCCCTGGAAGTCCGTTGTAACGTATGGTATTTTACTGTAAAATAAAAGCATACGCATATTACAAAGGTGAATCATGAAATGCAATGACTGTAATTGGGGAAAAAAATCCGTTAAAATAATATGAACAGGAAGATATTTTTACATTTTGTTTAGCGACTGTCTACTTTGAAAAGTTCATTACTAAAATAGCAAAGACAAGACACGGTTATTTGTGCAGAACATTGCACGCGGATGTGATTTAAAGTATTTTATGGAGATCAAATAATATTATACAGTAATAATGACAGGTGACATCAACCCAGAATGTTCCCCGTTGGCTATGGGGATCGAACCAGCAACTTTCGCATTATAAGGCAACAGCATAAACCACTGTAGCACCGTGTACTACGCACTAGTAACATTTACGTAACTTATGCATTTAGTCTGTCTGCAATTCATTGCCAAGCCAACTCCCTGGCTGTGCTTATGGCCATAATATTGCCTTTTTTTAACGATTACATCTTTGTATTTTTCATACAGCTCCATCAGCAGCGTTTGTTCTGCAGCGGAAAGAAACACCGCTCTCATTTTACAGGCTTTCTGACTCATTTGGTCGATCTATCGTTCATCCATTTATTTGGGCTTCTTAAATATCGCGGGTGTGCCGCACTAAGTGAGATTATGCAAGTCTGTCTTGAATGAGCCTTGATTAGTTAAAACTGAACTGCGTTCGTGTAATGACATGAGGCTAAGTTTAGAGATGGAGCTAGGTTGAGTCTGACTTTTTCGGGAAAGTCTGCCTTTCTTTAGCTACTTTCATGGAATACCCCCCAGGAGTTTATTTAATACAAGTACAAACACACCAGGGAAAATACACTGCTCAAAAAAATTAAAGGAACACTTTGAAAACACATCAGATCTCAATGGGAAAAAAAATCATGCTGGATATCTATACTGATATGGATTAGGTAATGTGTTAGGAATGAAAGGATGCCACATTGTTTGATGGAAATGAAAATTATCAACCTACAAAGGGCTGAATTCAAAGACACCCCGAAAATCAAAGTGAAAAAATGATGCGGCAGGTTAGTCCATTTTGCCAAAATTTCATTGCAGCAACTCAAAATCGTACTCAGTAGTTGACACACATGGTTGTATGCATGCCTGACAATGTCGGGGCATCCTCCTAATGAGATGCCGGATGGTGTCCTGGGCAATCTCCTCCCAGTTCTGGACCAGGGCATCACTGAGCTCCTGGACGGTCTAAGGTGCAACCTGGCGCCGTTGGATAGACTGAAACATATTTGGGGGCAGCGTGTGGCTCAATTGTCTGTAATCACAAGGTCGCCAGTTCAAACCCAGCCTCAGCACGTCTGTGGGTCCTTGAGCAAGGCCCTTAACCCCCAGCTCCCTGGGCACCCCAACAGGTGGCTGCCCTTCACGAACAACTTACTCTACAAAGAGGAGGTTGAGGGAGGCGTAAAAACAATTTCCCCACGGGGATCAATAAAGTATCTATTATTATTATTATTATTATTATTATTATAATGCCCCAGAGGTGTTCTGTTGGATTTAGGTCAGGCGAGCGTGGGGGCCAGTCAATGCTATTAGTTCCTTCATCCTACAGGAACTGCCTGCATACTCCCGCCACATGAGGCCGGGCATCGTCGTGCACCAGGAGGAACCCAGGACCCACTGCACCAGCATAGGGTCTGACAATGGGTCCATGGATTTCATCCCGAAACCCAATGGCAGTCAAGGTGCTGATGTCTAGCCTGTAGAGGTCTGTGTGTCCCTCCATGGATATGCCTCCCTTGACCATCACTGACCCACCATCAAACCGGTCATGCTGAACAATGTTACATGCAGCATAATGTTCTCCACAACTTTTCAGACCCTTTCACATCTGTCACATGTTCTCAGTGTGAACCTGCTCTCATCTGTGAAAAGCACAGGGTGCCAGTGGCGGATCTGCCAATTCTGGTATTCTACGGCAAATGCCAATCGAGGTCCACAGTGTCGGGCAGTGAGCACAGGGTTCACTAGAGGACGTCGGGCCCTCAAGCCACCCTCATGAAGTCTGTTTCTGATTGTTTGGTCAGAGACATTCACACCAGTGGCCTGCTGGAGGTCATTTTGTAGGGCTCTGGCAGTGCTCCTCCTGTTCCTCCTTGCACAAATGAGCAGATACTGGTCCTGCTGATGGGTTAAGGACCTTCTATGGCCCTGTCCAGCTCTCCTAGAGTAACTACCTGTCTCCTGGAATTACCTCCATGCCTTTGAGACTGTTCTGGGAGACACAGCAAGCCTTCTGGCAATTGGCATGTATTGATGCGCCATCCTGGAGCAGTTGGACTGTGCTGTGCAACCTCTGTAGGGTGCAGGTACTGTATCACCTCATGCTACCAAAAGTGACAATGACTGTAGCCAAATGCAAAACTAGTGAAAAAAACAGTCAGAAAAGATGTGGAGGGAAAAATGTCAGTGGCCTCCACCTGTTAAACCATTCCTGTTTTGGGGGTCGTCTCATTGTTGCCCCTCTAGTGCAGTGGTTCCCAAAGTAGGGGTCACGACCCTCTGGGGGGTCGTGAGACATTGAGGGGGGGGTCGCGAGATGATTTCCAAGAAATCAAATAATTTTTTTAAAACTATTAGAAATAAAATTTTATCAACATTTTAACATTTTATATTAACATTTTATCCATAACTAACAAAAGATAAAAACTAGTAGTTAATAGTTGCATTTAAAAAAATATGCAAATTAAAAAAATCCATCAGCTTTTCAAATTTCTTTCCATTTGATCGTGACCCCTGAGGTGATTACCACAGATTAACAACACAATAGCGTCAGTTGCAGCAGAATTTACAGCACCATGTTAAAACATTCCGACATGTGCACATAACATGTAGGTAATTTTCATCGCTTTATGCTTAAGATATTACTTTTGTTGAAATGAAACGAATGAGTAACAATTAAAAAAAAAAGTTATATGGTTGTTAGACCATTGTGTTCTTTTGTGTTGTCATGCTCATGCAGGGGTAGAATTACTTTGTTCGGGGGGCACAGCAAT